GCCGAGGGGCAAAGTATCGCTGGTAGAGAAACGGCGTAATCGAGAGTCTTGGGATGAGGGAAAAAGCGAGAGGTGCGGAGCAGGAGTGGCGAGCGTAGCCAAGGGTCTCGGCGATCGGGTCGGTTGGGAGTCGGGAAGTTGGAGGCGGCGTTGGTGGCGTCCGTGGCGTCGGTGGCGGCGGAGGCTGGCGGAGTGAGGGGCAGGAGCAGGAGGACAAGGAGGAGGAGGAGGATGAGGAGGAGGAGTAGGAGGAGGAGGAGGAGGAGAGAACGATGGCGAGGAGCAGGGGCGTATAGAGCCGAGCGGGGCCAGATGGCCCAGGAATCGAGTGTGGCCATATGGGCAGGTGCCTTGGCACGCGGTGTAGCACACGCGAAGCGAAACCAATTCTCGAGTGCCAGGGGAATTTCAGGCGCTTGGCAGAGCTGGCGGGAGAAGCGCGCATTTTCCCTCAATTTTCCGTTTGCGTATGCATGAGACGTCAGCCTCGATCGGTCGTTTATCACCGCCGTTTGAAAATAGTTCGAAGATGCTGGCCGTCCGAGCCTTCCCGGAAGTCTCGGCACCGCGCCGGGTAAACGGGCGCGCGGGTGATCGTGTGCGGGTCGTTGGTCTGTTGCGGTTAAGTCTGTGTGCCTCGGTCCCTGTGTAATGGCGCTTAGGTATAGATTGTGGAAGAGAGGCGACGCCGGTTGCGCGACCCGTCCGGACCTTACCTGCTTCGTTAACGTTTTCTCATTCGTCCGGATTTTCGACTCTTGCATTTGGCGGCTTTGACTGTGCCAAGTTTCATATTTCGCATTTGAATAGTGGTCGCAATCGTCAATTCGTCATTTCATTCCAACGTGGATATATTTGAATTTAATTTTTGTAGAGGTTACGGAGTTGTAATGTGATTGTTCGATTGGAGTGGCCGAGTCGCAATTCACAAATCGGCGACTTTCCATTTCCTACCCTTGTACACCCCACAATAGGGGAACGTATAAATTTCGCTTCAATGATCTGCGAAATTATCGATGCTTTTTTAATATTCTAATATCAAATTCAATATGCATAATGGATAATTAATGTAAATTTTAAATGATTTAGAGCTCGTGAGAATTAATCGTAATTTGAATATTCGAAAGATATGTGGTGATTTATAAAGCCTCTATGAAAAATAGCTTTGTAATTGGCCGTGAAATTGTACGTCAAAGCGAACTTTAATAACAGTCTCAGCAATGAACCATCCTTAGATTATTGGGACGTTGATTTTATGAAAGCGTACCAAGTACGCTCCAAAAAAAAAAAAAAAAAAAAAAAAAAATACCGGCAAGGATCTTGAAAAGCTTCCCGATCAATACGAGCGCTAACGAGTCGGGCAAAGAGAACTTTTACGTGGGTCAGGGATTTCATGGGTAAAATGAGCAAGTGCGTGCACCGTGGTCGCGCATGCGCATGTTTTTGGATCATTCAGTGTCTCGAGTTGGCTCCGGGTCAGGCGACAGGCGAGTATGTAAATTTTTGCATTTTATACCTACTTGACAAGGCGCAAGCGTCGTACGCGCCCCCCCAGATGGGACCGTTAAAAGTTAAAACCTGCTAGTGGTTCCGCGCGGCCGTACATACGCCGGGGTTGAAGTCGCGAGCTGCGACAGAGAGAAAGAGAGAAGAAAAGGAAGAGGATAAAGGAATAAGGAGCACCGGGAGAGAGAAAAATAGCCGCGAACCTTTCCCAAGGCTACGTGTGCGCCGGTATTATCCCTCCTCGTGCGCGATTACTTCGCAACACGAGCGACTTTCGGGGTTCGCCGAGGGTAGGGGCGCCTTGTATGCACGGCGAGTCTGATTTCTTTTGAAATTTCTCGAAGCTTTGATTCCGCGACTTCTTTTCTCTTTTATTTCTCGTTCATGGGATCCAATTCTTCGTGAGCTCGGGACGAACGTTAAACGCGGGGAGTTTTTGGGTAAACGTTTCGCGCGCTCCTATATTCGTTCATCGGCTCAAGCGATCTCGTCAATTTTTATTATTATTATAAAATACACGTGCCGCATGCTTTCGTACATTTAGAGAAATTCAAATTGCCATTACCTTATTTAAGGCTGCTAATTTGTGGAAAATTGTACTTCATTTTAATGCTGAATTGGCAGGATTTGGTATCAGTTAACGTTGATTGAAAATGCATCGGTTGAAAATTTTACGAGCTTTGCACATGAAATCTTATTTGAACTAGAAATTACGTCTAAACTAATGTATAATAAATTTCACTTTGTGACAATTTCAATAAAATATTGAAAATAGAATTTTCAAAATTAGGCAAAAGATTGGTAAAAATTTCATGAAACCCAATGTACCATTAATAAGTCATGTAATCGGTACGCTTAAATTACAATGTAGGAAATTCCATTTAAATATACAAATTTGTAAAATAAAATTTTTTCTTGATGCATTGATAGTTGTAGTTGCACTTGTCATTTTTCAAAAGCATTTATTTGATGATATTTATCAGATAATTATAATGCAAAATGAATTTGCATTATCGATATTGTCTAAAGTTATTTGCCGAACACAAATTACATTAAGTATAAACATAAGAATACACATCATTAATTCATTATATAAAGTATTTAGTTCAGGTGGAGTATGTGTATAAAAATTCATACTGATTTACTCGCTCCATCAGCCATAAAATTCAAATATCATTCAAGGCAATAATCGTTGTTATTTAAATACATGCCGCAAGCAGTAATTGCTTGACAAATCAACGCTCTCGTGACTTGGGCAATTACGAGCGATTCTCAATATAGGACGTAGGGTAAGAAAGTTCCCTCCACTCGCTATATGCTTTCTCGTTAAATAGTTGTTTATCGAGAAAATCCGCTGCCACGCCTTTTGTAACCGTAATTGCTCAATCTTCCCGAGGTCCGTCTGGGCAGATTAATATTGCGGTTTATGAAGCGTGAAAAACGTTAAATGCCAGTGGCTCGTCCGTCACCTTTTCGAAACTCGGCATTCACACTCGCCCTCACACGCGCAATAATATGTATATATATATATATATATGTATATATATATATATATATATATATAAATGTGTGCGCGTGCGCATGCGCCCATTCGCGCGCGCGCGCGCGCGCGCGTGTGTGTGTGTGTGTGTGTGTGTGTATTACATGTGTGGGCCACTGTGCGGCAGTCGAAAATTAAAGGGCGAATCGCACCTTGAAATACGTTACATTCCAAACTCGAGTCGCTCAAAAATTTAATCTTGACCCTAATACATAAAATCGTTAAGCGCCATTTACGTCTTTGTTTTAACAAGCTGCTTTTTAATACATTGGAATTTTCTCGATACGTATAATAGTAAAATTATAACTGTCGTGAGAAATTATCATCATTTTATTTCATGCCAATGGGCAAATAGCAATAAGCAAAACCAAGGAAAAACGAATAATTTTAATAACCACCAAAGATTCCTTTATCGCATTTTCCCAACCACACGAAGATGTCAGCCCATTACAACAAAAGCGTTATAATTACGTGACGTAAGTGAGGAAATTGTTGTCGGTGTCGGAGACAGAAACCAATAATCCTCTGTCCATAAATCCGTGACGACGTACGAGACGAGACTTGACGATTGCAGCAGACGACTGCCGAGGGAAATGCGAGGTCTACCGGGTTTTGGCCATGGGCCACGTGACCGCGACAACGGCGATCGACCAATAATAAGAAGAAAATGGACGAGGCTCGAGTCAATGATAGGGCCCGCACGTGTTATTCCGCTAAGTGAGCGGGCCGAGGTCCGTTTACAGGGCTACGACATTGAGCCCGTAGTTGAGGGGCGCAGGCGCGCGAATAAGTGCCAAGTTGCAGAAAGAAGGCGGTGGGACGGTGGCTCAGGTGCGCGTCTTTCACCTGTTTCTCTATTTCCCGTATGTCGTGGCAGGTGTGTCACTCGGTCCCTGCCTTTCCGTCGTGGCCGTAATTACCGTCGGATAGCCGGCGGCTCGCGGATCTCGTCACCGAGGCTCACCCTCGCCCACAACGGCCTCGCTCTTCCTTGACCGAGTTTCCGAGCGCCGACGACGTTCTCCCAGAGTCGCGTGTCCCCGAACCGCCCACCTCTCACGGCTCCTTTTCTTTGCCGTCCGCGGGAATTGTCGTTGGCCCTCCCACTCTCTCTCTCTCTCTCTCTCTCTCTGTCTGTCTGTTTGTCTGTCTCTATCTCTCTCTCTCCCTCTCTCTCTCTCCCTCTCTCTATCTCGCTCTCCCAGCGGATGTACCTCCGTGGGAGAAGCCGCGATAACGGACGCGACACTCCGGGAGGATGCGTACGAACGTCGTCGTCCGGCCCAAGTGCGGGGCATACGGCCGCCGGGCGGATGCGCGCCCGTCCTCCAGGAGACGAAAACGACGCTCGGTCAGTTGCGCGGACTCTTAACGTACTTCTGCGGGCCGACCTCACGATGGATATGTGGGTTACTGGAGATGTCGTGAATGCCAATGGCCTCGTCAGTCCCCATTACTTTACGGCTCAACGTGCCGGTTATTGAGCTTAACTATTTCCGATACACTTGTGCAAAGTACGTTTTATTACCTCGTGCCTGAAAATACGAATATCTTCTTTCTTACCTTTTTTTTTTTTTTTTTGGTGAGGGCAACGGCAGAAGGAAGCGAAATGCTCGTGAAAATGTGTCCCACGAGGAGCAAAAAAAAAAAATAACCGAATAACGGTTGAATTTATAAAACGACGAAACGACGAAACGACGAAAACTGAGTAGCGAAAGAGCAATAACCCACGCACAATAACACCTTTTGATATATTAATAGCTTAAAGATTCAACAATGGGCTGATCTACAATCAGCTCCTGATCCTACAATCAGACCCACAATTACAGAAGCTGTCGCAATCTCAAAATCTCTAATTGCATCGTTTCACTCTTCGAGCTTAGTAGCTCTCTCGTTACTCCTATCCTCGTGTCAGGAAATTGCAATTAAACAGCCGGCATTGCTGCTTTCAGGAATGCTGAAGTGGACCGTGTCACGGTCGCTATCGGCGGCAAGCTCGACCCCCCACGGGCCCGACAAAGCCGCCCGACGGCCCTTCCGCGACCTCTCCAACACGCCGCCAGCGACCTCGGGCTCATCCAGAAGCGCCTCCTCCTCCTGCCACGTAACGACCAACGGTAACGTCCCAGCATCGGAGGCAGCGACGAGCGCCGGCACCGGCAGCAGACGGCCCGTAATCAAACGCACGCCCTCGAGACGACGGAGGTGCAGGAGTCACGGCAGCGATCTCAGGGGCTACTTTCAGGTGAGTGCCCCGGCTACGACAATGTCCACGACGGCCCACGAGATACAGCAGCCAGGGTTAACCGGCCTAATGAATCTCGACGATTCTGTCCTGGGTGTTTATTCGCGGTGCTTCTTAGTAGAGTGGCTCGTCACAATGTTCCGTTCCATTCGAATGAGCGATTGGCTCGGCCATTGAATCTTTACCCTCGTGACATATTATATTACGTACTAAAGGAGCAATGAAAATATATAATAAGTAAGGAATGTAAATTCGAAAAAATATCAGATATTGACGATTAATCTCGCGGGATAATCATGAAACATCCGACATAAGACGACATCCTCATATTTATCGATTTCACCGCAACGAATGTCGTTAAAGTTTGTTGTGTTTTTTCATCGGAAAAAAAAAAAAAAAAAAAAAAAAAAAAAAAAAAAAAGACGAAGAAGAAAAAAGAAGGTAATAGAGATTGATAATGTTTACGCAAGCCGAGATATATAGAATTGGCTAAACAATGAAGAATCTCTCGATGGTTTGCCCTCCCTTCCAATAAGGCCCATCGCGTTGCCTTCAATTCATTGTCCCACAAAGCAATTCGTAGCTTCCCTCGGACGGCCCGCTACCCCCATCCATCCAAACACCCTTTAAGCACCAGTTTACCTAAGAGGTCTCCTCGTCGCGAGCTCATTAATATTGAAAGAAATGTCGGTGTGACTTCGCAGACGACGAAGCCGAGCGCTCGCTCGGCCAAGCGGCAGTCGGGCTCGCCGCACCTCGAGAGCTTCTACCAGAGCACGCCACGAGTGGACGCGGACATCGGGCCGCTGACTCTCGTGGGCCGGAGGCAGCTGGGCCAGACCCTACCGACAGACCCACAGGCACTGCTGCTCATCGGTGCCACGGAGCTACCGCGGAGTCTCATCGGCGACGCGCGCACCGCCAAGCTCCAGTCCCACGTCTCGGACTTCTTTCATCAGATCAGCTTGGCAACCAGTCCCGAGGACGTCATGGAGTCCGAGGCTCTGCCGCTCACTCACGGCTATAGCCGCAGATCGACTAACGCCTGCCTGTCCAAGCTGACGAGGTTCGCCAAGCTTCAGGCCAGGTGCAAGACGCCCCACAATGTCAAGGCCAAGAGCCTCGAGGCCGTAGGGGCCGGTGTCCCCTTCGGCCAGACGCCGCTAGCCGGAAAACTCCTGGATCTGAGGCTCGATCAGAACTCGCCCAAGTGCCACGGCATGGACAATCATGTGGCCGAGACGTTAGACAGGTTCGTTGATAGCTGCTTCAATTTTTTCCCTACGTTACCTCCGCTTTTCGTAATAGCGTTCAAGGCCACAGTAGCTAGTTTAAATTTTAAGCGAGCTCGATAAGAGAGTTTTGCCACCCTTGCGAGTGGCTTAATCCCTTGTGAGTAAATATATTGGACAAGAGGCGCACGAACGTCAAGTTGAATTATTAAAGACACAATGCCAGTTTACGTTATTATGAAATTTGACGTATTACAAGGTCTTTGCACCCAATAATGCCACTAAACCCTAAGGCCCTTTAACTTCACATTAACAGCCACTACTACTTACGTGAATTATTTAAAAGTAAAATAATTATTTAGCGCGCATTATTATTTTTTGTGAAGGCAATTGATATCATATTCCTTTTGTCGTTTTGTTTTGCTTTTTGGCGAATTAGCGGGCCGACAACTGATACGAAGAAAAAAAAATTGATTAAGACTTATGACTTTTATATATTAGCAAAGGAACACGTTGGTTGATAATTAAATCCACTGAGAATTAACTTTTACTTATAGAAAATAACCTTTCACTGCTTTATTAATACTCTTAACTTAATATACATCCATACGCGCTCACGCGCACCCAAACGTTTTTTACGCATATTCGAGCAGTTTGTGCCCTATGAGTAATTTAATAGTATCCCGTAATTTGAAAATAAAAAATCTTTTTGAAATATAATCGTTAAAGCGTAGTAATTAATGAGCTGCGCTAATTTAGGGAACAAGAGGTGAACTATGGCGCGAGGAGTGTCGCGGAGATTCTTCTAAAAGACTCGGAGGAACGTCAAAAGATCCTCGAATCGAAGCTGGAAGCCGCAGCTCAGAGTCACACGGTCGATCTCGATAAGGCCAGCGAGGAGGTAAATAAGCTTGGCGCAACGCTACCCGAGAGTCTTGACGAAGACCTGGAGGAAGCTAAAGCGCTCCACAATGATAGCAGCGTCTCCTCGGCGAGTCAGCTACTGGAGAACCCCTCGCCCGTCTCCTGGGCCTTCTGCTCACCCTCGTCCGACCTCGACAGTGAGTTCACGCTGAAACGGCAGCGCGCCATCAGACGCAAACGCCAGGCCAACAACGGCGAGCCCAACGGACCCGTTAACGGGAGCAAACGCATGAAACGAGACAAGCTGCCCTTCATCGAGGCTGTCAATCGTCACGTCAAGAGATTAGCCCTCGAAACGGATCTGGATATCTCCGCTGCTGATGCCAAGAGCAAGGGTGAGCCAATGATCGAGAATTTAGAGAACATCGTCGAGAGTGTTCCCGACGTCGAAGACATTCCCCAAGTCGAAGCTATCCCGATGATTGAGAGCCTTCCACAAATTATTGGACTTCCAGAGGTCGACGCAACCAAGATGACTTTTGCGGTATTTATCCAATAATTTATCGATACCTTGCAAATTTCTCAAATTGAATTTACGAATTTTCAATGTTTATTCGTTCAGGAAGGTGGCTTTAATTTGATTTTATTTACACATTTACGAGTGAACAATTTTTTTTATTCGTCTGCAATCATAATGCAAGCTCACAAAGCACAAATTTAACCGACGATTTCAGCGATCTCACAAGCTTCGGCAATTCCTTCCTCCTTCTATTTTTCATTATAATTTTATTGAAAGTGTGCTAATCCCGTGACAATTTGACGATTCCAAAAAATGCAACTGATATATTTCGGGAGGTGTTTTGAATCCTTGTCGATGATTTCTCAAAGCAGTTCCGCTTAGCTCCTCAAATCGCGTATCCACCAATCCGAATTATGACGTAGCCACTGTTTCGCCCCGCAATGGCAACATCAAAATTCAAAAGGAAGAAAAGAAAAAAAAGGAGAGAGAGAGAGAGAGAGAAAAGAAAAAAAGGAGAGAGAGAGAGAGAGAGAGAGAGAGAGAGAGAAAAGAACAAAAAAGTAGTGATGTATTTGATGTGTAATGGGGACGATGATCCTTTCTATATAGAACGCGGGGCAACTGAACTACAGCGATACGATGACGTGCGAGCAGCGTCCGTTCCTCGAATCCTTGGCCTGTCGGAAGCGCAAGGAACTGACGCTGAGTGGCGCCTGGGACACGGACAGTCCCAAATCGTCACTCATCGACTCGTTCACGACGACCAATACCTCGACCGCGTGCACACCCGAGGCGCCTCTTGTTGCGACGGTGAGGCGCTGCCTCAAGTACAGTCCGGAGACACCCGGTGCCGAGTGCTCGAGAAGCGGCTACCTGCTCCCTGCTAACAGGGGCTCTATCGAGATCGAGTGCTCGGCGCTCAATGACCACATACACGTCAAGAGTAAGTCAATCTCCAATCATTTAATGCCTCTTTACTATTCGTTATTATCGTAGAGATCGAGTACACTGGTACTTCTCGTGCTTTCTTCATTGTGCTTGGCGTGCTTGGGGGTGAGGGAAATGAGAAGTTTTAGCAACTGAGCCGAACCCTTATGCAATGCGTAGGAGTCTATCGAATTGGAAAGGAAGTTAATAAATTCTCATTGGAGTAATTTTCTCTAAGATTGCGTATATTAGAAATCACTTGAGATATTCGTCCGGGTAATGCCATATAAATTAACATTACGTTCTGGAAAAAATTTAATTTCAGATTAAAAATCAAGTTACGTTCAGGTCAATGTTACTCGCCTCTATATTAAACGGAATATTTATAAATGCAACTACTGAATTTATCGCCGTTTAATTTCACAATCGAAGAGAGAATCGAATTTTTTAATAAGCTATCGTTAAAGTGCTTATTTTGAAATGTATACCTGGTTTCTCGAAAAATCAACCCCTTCAAATTAGAATTTTAGAAAGTTAAATGTGCTGTTGAATCAGAAAGCTGTGTGTACACCGGCGGCGCATTATGCAAATATTATTTACCCCCCCCCCCCAAATTCTCCCTCATCATTATCATTACCCTTCCCCTTACCCCGTGACAATAAGGCCAGCGAATCAAAGAAGAAGAAAAAAATAGTAATAATAATAATAATAATAATAATAATAATGAAAGTCCAGTCCCTCTTCTTTCGCATCGGCGCCGCTCAAATTACGTCGGACTCGTATCGTAAACGAACCGTCGCCTCGTCGCGCAAAAGGAAAACAAAGTAACGGGCGGAGGGAAAACAATAGTCGAGCCTTAGAAAGTTCAGTGGTGCATCGGCCAGAGTACGGCCACGAAATTTCGCGTGCAGTACATTTTTAACAAACTCTCGCGGTCCACTTCTCTTACTACCTTACCTCTTCTGCTTCTTCCTTGGCGTATTTCTTTTTTTCACCGCGTGTACTTTTGGTGCCGACGGCAGCTTTAAAACACGATTGTTAATGCTAAAGTGAGGGGAATTGCAATAAATTTACATGTCTTAGATGTGATTAGCATACGAATAACAAAAACGAAAGAAAAAAAGAGTCGACGGGAATAAAAAGAAGAGCGAGCGAAGCTCGGAGGCTTTTTAAAAGGGCTATTTTTTCATGTTCGTCCTTCTCGCTCACTCTCTTTATGATTCATCTTCGTCCTTGAAATTTACAGTGCCTGGTATTGCCTACAAGTTTTTAACATAATCTCATTAAGATACTCACCCTTTTTCCAGTTTCGCGACTATCCATTGTCCTATGCATCTACGTTTTCTCGTTCAATGCTGCTAACGAGTGACGCTACACCATCCTCCATCTCGAAAAATCCATTTATCTTTCGCTAAATCTAAATCATACTGCCACCTCGGACATTATTTCCCTTGTGTTATTCGCCTAAGTTTTATAATATTGATTAATGTTTGTCATTCAAGGATGAAAAACGATGTATTTACGGAATATCCTAGTAACCAGTGTTACGTAATTTAATATCAGAGCCTCGTTCGCAGATCTTTCAAATTCGTCATTTCATCACACGTTACGATTAAAAAAAAAAAAAAAACGAGAGTTTATTAAGAAACGTAGTTTGTCAAAATGTTATACTTTTACCTTTATTCTCTCTATATTTCCATTCCTATTTTCTATTTATAATACTAATAGAATAAAATATCGTCAAGTTAAAGCTTCATTAGCGATGCTGTAATCGAAGCAATATTCATCGTTTTTCTCAAAAACTTTCCTTTATAAGTACAAACAAGTTCCAAGTTAGATATTTGCTTACTATAGCCGAGTATGCTAGATAAATTGATCGCGTCCGTTACAGTACTAATTATCAAAACTTTCAACTCCGGAGTAAAATTTTATATTCAATTAGACACATATAATCTCTTTAACGTCTCCTATATGAAAATCATATAAATACTTTTATAAATTATTAAAGTTTAATACGCATATTCAAATAAAAAAAAAAAAAAAAAAAAAAGAGTACTTAAAAATTTGTAATTATTTAAAATATCTCTATTGACAATCATCCAAAAATCAATGTGAATTTAACGATAAATGGAAAGCCACTAGAAAGTGTTTTGCAAGTCTTATTTAAGATGAAACAAGAGGTACTCGCTCATTACGAACAGCTCGATAAGACAAAAGTTGCTTGCGCATGCAACGATGTGACGTTTCCGACATTTGCCATGAAAACACATCATAAGCTATCGAATTTTCAGCAAACTCGACGCTTTTTGATGATAAATCATCAAGATTCTCATTGATGCGCGACGCTAAATACTCAATACCACTCGATTAACGACTGGCGGCGATATAATCTCAGCTTCGTCATTGACGGATTAACGTGCAATTTGCATCTTGAGGATCTTGAGGAAGGAAGAGAAGCGGCCTCCAAATTGACTAGATCGAGAGCACTTGAATTGTTCATAGCCCACCAATATAGTAGGTTAAGGGCAGGGATGTAAAATCCCTTCTGCGTGACTCCTCCGGTCGCCCCGGGCGACTCTTTCGGCCGTGGCGTCCCTGACCGCGTCGGGGCGCCGCGGCACCGCGCAGCCCTCGGACATGCGCCGGCGGCTCCTCCTACGGTAGCTCCTGCAGCTCCCAACCTCGATACCTCGCGTCCGCCGCTGCGGAAAGCCGTGCGCCAGTAACCCCGAGAGCTTTCCCCTCAGCAGCGGCGTCGGCGGCGGCGGCGGCGGCGGGATTCTCGATACGAGCAGTTTCCCGGTGGTAGGTGCGCCCATATCCCAGTCCTAGTCTGTCTCCTCCTAATTCTGCCTCCAGCTCACCCGGGGGAGGCTCCGCTAGCGCGGAGAATAATGCACGGGGCCGCGAGTGGTGCAGCAGGAAGCGTGCAGAACGGGAAAGAGATAAGACCGCGCGCTTCTCAGTGACTCCTGGTCAGCGCCATCCCAGCCTATCGCATATCCACGTCGCTCACATCGGGGCTGTACTTTGGTGATAATGTGTCACCTGGACGTAAGTTACGTCGCGGACTGCGTTCACCTTGGTGGATTACTCGAGCTGCGGTAGATGTTGTGGTAATCGCGCGTAGCTGCTTCGAGCGAATCAGCAGCGAGGGAAATCCGCTAGGAGGCAAAAGAGCGACGGCGGCGGCGGCGGCGGCGGCGGCGGCGTCCCTCTGGCTCATTGATATGCTATTGATTGCGTTCGCGACGTTGCGCTTATCTTCGTAACGAGAAAGGTAGAAACAAATACCGCATTTAGAGATTAAATAGGACTACCTTCCCCACCCAACCACCCACTCATCGTCACACCACTTTGTCCCGTGAATGCACATGGACGGCACGTAAGTAGGGGAACGTTATCGACGGTTTTCGATAGCGAGGCTAAAAATTAGCTGAGATAAGAATATCGAGAGCTCGTGGAGTCGCAAAGTCGCTTTTATCCGAGGTCGGACACGGACTTCGTGCCTCCGTATCCGCGAGCGTAATATTGGACAATTGAATTCACGAATGACGCCAAGTGTCTTTAGCCTCTTGACACGATTTTACCGACAAATTCTCCCCGATAACGCTGCATTTTCTCGATAGTTGGTGGCTTTTTTGTTTTTGTTTTTTTCTTATATCGCGGCGGGCGGCGATCGAGATAAGAAGCGCGTAACGGTAATTTTATTGAAACGTACACTTGTAACATCTTCTCATTCACTGTAACATCTTGCACTGCGTATTAATTAAAGTCCTTATGTAATAAATTGAATATCAGTTGTAAGCATAGGCATAGGCTGGTCGTTGTTACTATTAAATTGTACATCGGGCGCATTACGTTATATCGGCAAACTACGTGTCGTTTCATTACCCATTAAACAAAAGCTCCTCGAGGCAGGATAAAAACGTCTATATGATCAATATAGAGGGTGCTGATATTTATCGAGACTATTTGGACTCTCCAATAATCTAAGAATTTTTCAATTTATCTTCGAAATTTGATAGGGAAACTTTTCCAATAACCTTGCAATGGTATGTAATCTCGGAGCTCGAGTAGCAGGTTTACTTTTAGAGATACCTGTAGTGAGTTCGCGCGCTATGTCGAGTAAAAGAGACGCGACAAACGATTGTAGACGGCTCTCGGTCGCACAGTTTTTAGTTTTTCAAGGAAGTGCCCGCTCCGTGAAAAGCATCCGCTAGGTATCCTGAAATGAAACTAGCCCAGGCCCGAGAGAACCACCGAAACTCACAGCTGCATTGAAAGTTGCGCGTCGGCCATGGGATAATCCAAGCGTTAGGGAACGAGGTGTTAGATAGCCATGATAAAAGATATAAGAAATAAAAAAACAAGAAACGCCAAGCTCGTATGCTCACAAGATAGTTTTCTTCTGTTTTGTGTGCGACTGCAGTTATAAAGTGCAAGGATCTGCGGAGGGCGTACGAGGGCCCGATCCACGCCTACGTGAAGGCAAGCATCAAGGACCCGCGTAGTGGCGAAGGCTGCGTGAAAAGGACAGCGGTGCACCGGGCGACACCGAACCCCATCTTCCAGGAGACCCTCGTGTTGCCTTGCCTGCCAGCGAGCAACGACAACTGCGCGGCCAGGCAGATCTCGCTCGACATCGCCGTTTGGCATCGTGATCGCAGAGCAAGGTGAGTATTTGCTCTATCACTATTTATCTATCTGTTTGTCTATATCCCTCCCCCCCCCTCTCTCTCTCTCTCTCTCTCTCTCT